AGTAGTTTCCCACGAAGAGTATCATAAGTTAAGACATTGTAGTCTCTTCCTTCAGTTATGGCGTTCACCTCGGATTTCCACTCAGGAGTCATACAACGCAGAATTTTCCGGACAAGCTCATGATCGGTGTAATACTTTCCGAGCGTGTCAAGATTGTTGATGATTGTAGAGAATCTCTCAAAATAACTATCAATGCTTTCATTCTCCTTCATTGAGAATAATTCATATTCATGCAATAAGATGTCAACTTTAACATCTTTAACTTGAGATGTACCTTCATAAGTGACTTCGAGTTTAGTCCACATCTCATTGGCGGATTTGCATCTTGATATCTTCCCATAATCATCAGGGTTCACAGCACAATAAAGATAGTTGATGGCTTTGGCATTTTGCATGACGTTCTTCTTGTCTTGATCATCATATTCGGATTCCAACTTGGGAACACGAATTCCATCAACAATATTTGCAGGGGTAGTGTTTCCATGCTTGATTACCATCCATGAGTCGAAGTCATTTGATTGTATGAATATCCTCATTCTTTCCTTCCAATATGCATAATTTGTACCATCAAAGAATGGAGGACGTGTAGTAGATTGTCCTTCGGATACACCGGCTTGGAATGTTCTTCCGGCCATGATCTAGATTTCCGGCGGTGAAGCTTTGGAAATGCAGCCACGCTCTGATACCAATTGTTGAACAACTTACGCACCTCTAGAGGGGGGGGGGGGGTGAATAGAGGTGTTCTTCAAAAATCAAGAACTTTTGGAAGAACAAAAATTCGCAGGAGTATATCAACCACAAGAACACAAAGATGAAGAGAAGGAGCAACACACGATGTATCCTGGTTCGGCCTAATGCCTACATCCAGTCCCCGAAGCAAACGTGCCCGAGATTCCACTAACTTTGTCAAACTTAACGGAGTTTGACAATCCGATTACAACTCGAGAACTTGAATTCGCAAGCCTCTAACCTTTCCACCAAAGTCTTGATTTCACAAGACTCAGGATTTCTCTCCAAAACTTGAATTATATCAACTTCAAGTTTTTACAATTCACACACCGTTTCAAAACAAAATGCACAGCGGAAATACTCTTCAAATTAAGAGTGGATTGCTGTAGAATACAAGAACTTATAGAGTATGGCACACTAGTACTCTTCAAAACTCAAGCAAATATTGATTTCTTGAAGAATTGCTTGGAAGTAGTGTTGAAGGATCAAAAGTATGAATTGAATTGCTTGGATTGATAAAAGAATATGTTTGAATGGATATATATAATGTTCTTCAAGCAAAAGAGCCGTTGTAGGTGAGTTATTGAAGATAGGGATGGACAACTTCCTTCAAAACTGACAAAACTGCAGTTCAAACTGACGAATTATTCGAATAAAATCATATTTATCCGAATAGGTCAGAGCGAAAAACGCAGACTTATTCGAATAAATTAAGGTTTATTCGACTAAATCACTGTAGGATTTGAAGAAATGAGCTTCAGGACTTATTCGAATAAACTGCTATTTATTCGAATAAGATAGAACTGAAAACTCAGACTTATTCGAGTAAAACAAGAGTTATTCGAACAGTTCTCACAATTTTGAAAATGTTATTTTGCAATTGACTCAAAAACAATTTGAAGGGTTTTTGGAAAACATTTTCAAGGAGGAAAGAACAACTAACATGCCATACACTTTAACAAAAATGCTAAGATCTGAAACAAAACCCAACTAAGGAAACAACCTCTTCGGTCTCGTTCCTTCCACCAATGCTCAAGTCCCTTCTTCACGGACGGATATGAACTTGTTGTAGCTTTGATTCTTAGCCTTGATGCAGAAAATGATGATGATGTTTTGTCACCCTTTTGTCATTATCAAAACCTAAAAGACAATGGGCAAAGGACATTGCAAAAATACATATTCATGAGAGCACATTGTCCAACAGTAATCTTTGCAGTGATTTAGTGGACGGGCTATTACACGGACGTGGGCTCCGCAGAGTAGGAGAATTGCTCTGAACTGCGTAAACAATTCTTGTGTCTGTTTTACTGTTTTTTATTTCTCTTGCTGCGTGTGACTGGTTGTGACAGAGGGAGTGTTTTAGCACTTTGCTTATCACAGCGATCTGAGCGTGTGTGTGATTGACTAGAATTGTTCACAGAGAGCACTTCCTCCTGTGACTAGAATCACTATAACAATTTCATTTGGTATCAGAGCAGTTAAGCTTAAGTTACTAGCTTGATCCATCATGGGGGACATTGAGGAAGGTGCAAATGTCCAACGACCACCACTGTTGCGTGGACCAAATTACAATTTTTGGAAGGGGCGCATGAGAGCTTTCTTAAAGTCCCAAGGTGGGAGAGTTTGGAGGAGCATAGAAACTGGATGGACAGAACCCACAGAGACCAACACAGAAGGAGAGAAGGTGGCAAAATCCTTTGAGAAATACTCAAAGGAAGAAGCAACACTGGCTGGATGCAATGATAAGGCACTCATTGCACTATTTGGGGCAGTTGATAGCTCACAGTGCCGACTCATTTCCAATTGCACTGAAGCAAAGAAGGCCTGGGAGATTCTCGAAACCACTCACGAAGGAGATGAACGAGTAAAAACTGCTAAACTACATATTCTTATGACCAAATATGAGAATCTGCGCATGGATGATAAAGAAAAAATAGCAGAATTTCATGGGAGAGTAAGATAACTGGCAAATGAGGCTGAAAATCTGAAAAGGCCTTTCACAGAAGATAGTCTAGTGTTGAAGGTACTGAGAGCCTTACCCGAGAGCTATGCAATGGATGCCAAAGCTATTCGCCAAGCACATGACATAAAGAACATGACACTTGATCAGCTGATGGGAAATCTTGAGACCATTGAGCTTCAAATGAACGAAGAAATTAACCAGAAGAAGAGTGTCAAACAGATTGCATTCCACAGCCACAATACTGAAGAAGAAGATGATGATGAGGATCCATCAGATGGAGATTATCAAGAACATTTATCCCTCATCACCAAGCAGTTCAAGAAGCAATGGATGCAGAAGAAAGGAAGAACAAATTATCAAGCTGAATCTTCAAAGGGGTTTCAATTTAGAAATCCAAGGCCAAAGGAGAGCAGGGCCCCAGCTAATGACTCCAAACGAAGAGGACCTCAATGCTTTGAATGTGGGGGATTTGGGCATATACAATCAGAATGTGCAAATAATCTCAAAAAGAAACGGCAAGCTTTTGTGTCAACATGGAGCGATGAAGAAGATGACTCTGAAGAAGTCCGAGGGAACAACAACTGTGCATTCACTACTCAAACACATAATGAAGATCCAGACAGCCTCACTAACCGACTTGTGGTGCTGCAGGAAGAGTTGGATAGCCTTCGTAAAAATCTTGATGAAACCATGCAGCAACTGGAACAGGTTGAAGGTGAAAAGGCAAATCTAAACTATGAACTCACTCAACTTAAAAGCTATCAAAAGTGGATGAAGAGTGCAGGTGCAGAACAGATTGAAGACCTCGTAGACAAGTCAAGGTTCTATGGAGACAGAACTGGCATTGGTCATACTCTACCAGAGAGCAGCAAAACACCCCTTGATTTGTTTGTAACAAGATCAAAGATTGCTGCTAAAGAACTGAAAGAATACAACAGAGACAAGAAGGAAGCAGTCCAGCCTACTCACATTCATGTAAGGAAACAACTTTTCTCTAATTATTACTGGAATTATATTTGCTTCTACTGCAGGAAAAAGGGACATATTAAAAGACAGTGTCACCAGCTGAAGTACAAAAGAAGAAAGAAGGGTACGGCCAAAGGGTTCACCAGAACCATGATGAAGTGGGTACCAAAACACTTGGCCTCAAGCGCCAACTCATGCCTTCGAGTCACACCCGATCAATGGTTGCTCGATAGTGGGTGTTCTCATTACATGACTGGAGAAAAACAAAATTTATCAAATATTCAATCCATAGAAGGAGGAAACGTATGGTTTGGAGGTGGTGCGCATGGACAGATCATTGGGAATGGAACACTGCATGTCTCAGGGCTACCACCTATCAAAAATGTATGGTTGGTCCAAGGACTAGAGGTGAATCTGTTAAGCATTAGTCAAATCTGTGACCAAGGACTGGAAGTGGTATTCACTCAACAAAAGTGCCGCATCAAGGACAGAAACAAATTTGTTGTCTTGGAAGGTGACAGAACCACAGACAACTGTTACAATGTCACTCCAAATATACTTTGCTACACAGCCAGTGAGAGGGATGCCAAATTATGGCACTACAGACTAGGGCATATGAACTACAAGGACCTCAAGACCTTGTCAGGATCTGGAGCCGTTCGAGGAATGCCAAAAATCACTCAAGTCAATGAGCAAGTATGTGGACCATGTCAAATGGGGAAACAAACACGAGCAAGTCATCCTAAGAAACCTACGAGGTCAACAAATCGTCCATTGGAGCTCATGCATATTGATCTATTCGGCCCAATGCAAACTGAGAGCCTGGGTGGAAAAAGGTTTGTTCTCATGGTCGTAGATGACTTCACAAGGTATACTTGGGTCAGTTTTTTAAAACACAAAGATGATGCCCTAAATGCCTTTGAAGCACTGTGCAACAAAGTTCAGAATGAGAAACAACTGAAGATTAAAAAGGTCATCAGAGTATGTAGTGATCACGGAGGGGAGTTTGACAATGGACCTTTCGAAGAGTTTTGTGATCTGCATGGCATCTGGCATGAATTCTCAGCACCAAAAACTCCACAACAAAACGGGGTGGCAGAAAGGAAAAACAGACATGTTCAAGAAATGGCACGCACGATGATCAGCTCATATGGATTGCCTCAAAATTTGTGGGCTGAAGCAGTTCATACAGCATGCTACACAATCAACCGTGTGTACTTTAGAAGTGGAACAATGGCTACACCCTACGAACTATGGAAAGGGAGGACACCAAGTGTTGCTCACTTTCACATTTTCGGAGCAAGATGCTACATCTTAAGAGACAGGGAGCAGAAAGGGAAGTTTGAGCCAAAGAGCGACGATGCCATTTTTTTTGGATACTCACCAAATAGCAAGGCTTATCGAGTATACAACAAATGAACAATAACTATAATGGAGTCAATAAATGTTGTGGTAGATGATCAGCTCCAGCCCAAGGCAGCAGATGACTCACTAGAGGTGAATAACACTGAAAAAATACCTGAAGAAGACACTGAGGATGAAGAAGGTGGGAAAGATGATTCTGCAGATACTCAAACTGAGTGTCCCATAACCAGTAGTGTTCCCACACACATTCAGAAAAACAACCCTCTAGAAAATATCATAGGGTCACCCACTGAAGGAATGAAGACACGGAAGAAGAAGATTGACTTTCTAGAGATGACAAAAGCATACTACACATCATCCCTAGAGCCTAAAAACATCAAAGAGGCACTGACAGAAGAAGCATGGATAAACGCCATGCATGAGGAGCTAGAGCAGTTTGAAAGGAATAAGGTATGGGAACTAGTTCCAAAACCAGAGAACACAAACGTCATTGGTACAAAGTGGATATACCGAAACAAAACAAATGAAGCAGGGAATGTCATCAGAAATAAGGCTCGGCTAGTTGCTCAAGGATACACACAAATGGAAGGCATTGACTTTGAGGAAACCTTTGCTCCAGTAGCTCGGCATGAGTCAATACGCATGCTCATTGGCATGGCGTGCATATTAGACATGAAACTGTACCAAATGGACGTCAAGACTGCATTTCTAAATGGGTATCTGAAGGAAGAAGTGTATGTAGCACAACCAAAAGGATTCGAAGATTCCAGGCATCCTGACTATGTATACAAGCTACACAAGGCACTGTATGGGTTGAAGCAGGCACCTAGAGCATGGTATGAACGCCTGACTTCCTACCTAATCAAGGAAGAAAAGAGGGGGAGCTAGATAACACCATGTTCTATATATGGTACAAATCTGACCTACTAGTTGCACAAATCTATGTGGATGACATTGTGTTTGGATCCACCTCCAAAACAAGGGCCGATGAATTTGTCAAAATAATGGAGAAAGAGTTTGAGATGAGCATGATAGGTGAATTAACCTTTTTCCTTGGATTACAGATAAAACAAACAGATGAAGGAATATTCATATCTCAGACCAAATATGCACAGAACATGTTGAAGAAGTTTGAGATGAGTGACAGTAAGAGTGCTAGAACACCGTGTCCAACACACGAGAAAATCAGCAGGGATGACAATGGAAAGGAGATTGATGCTACACGCTACAGAGGAATCATAGGGAGTCTACTATATCTAACAGCAAGTAGACCAGACCGCTGCTACAGTGTTGGAGTATGTGCTAGATACCAGGCAAATCCTAAAGAGTCACATCTCAAAGCCGTCAAAAGAATACTGAAATATGTCAAAGGCACTCAAAATATGGGATTATGGTATTCAAAAGGAGGTATGGTAGAACTTATGGCCTATAGTGATGCACACTGGGCAGGTAATATAGATAACAGAAAAAGCACATCAGGAGGTTGTTTCTTTCTAGGGGGAAATCTTGTAGCATGGTTGAGCAAGAAACAGAATTCTGTGTCACTTTCCACGGCAGAAGCAGAATACATAGCGGCAGGCAGTTGCTGTGCACAACTATTATGGATGAAAACCATACTCAGTGACTATGGCGTGGACCATGACACCATTCCTCTGTACTGTGACAATACAAGTGCCATTAGTATATCAAAGAATCCAGTACTGCACTCCCGAACCAAACACATTGACATCAAGCATCACTTTATATGGGAACTTGTTGAGAAAAAAATTGTGAGCTTGGAACACGTGTCCACAGAAGAGCAATCGCTGATATATTTACCAAGGCACTTGATGGTGACAGGTTTGAAACACTTAGATCAAAGTTGGGTCTATGTGCTCCCTACTGATGATGCGACTTGAAAAAGGGTGACACACTTATTAGTTAAAAGAAGACACGTGGAGCTATTAAAAGAACAAATAAAACGCATGCAGCACACCTATCTGTATACGGCGCTGTGTCACCAAAAACGAAGAGACCCAAAATTGAATTTCAAAAGGGCTCACAAAACCCAATAGCCTTTTCTTCTTCGTCATCCTCACTACAATCTCAAACCAAATCCCAGAAAATACCAGAAATCTCTCAAAGGAACATAAAGAGATGGTGCGCACCAAGATTGCCGTTCCTAAGCAATGGAAGAGTGCACATGCAACGAAGAAAAGAGCAAGTCTTATTCAAAAGTTTGCTCAGGCTAGGGCAAATCTACGGGCAAGAATCTCACAAGAAAATGAAGGTTCACCTTTTGTGAATCTAGAAATCGAGACTGCCATGGAGCATGAAGAAGTTCAAAGGGTACCGGAAGTTGGAGAACTGTTAGACGAAGAGCAAGATGAAGCACCAATCAATCCAGATCTCCCCACCATCATGTTGCTAGAATACAAATCACCATTACCCCTCGAGGAACAACACCAAAATGAAGAAGTAGATGAAGAATTCCAAACCTTACTGGATGAAGAACCACTGGTAGCAGTTTCTGAAGTACCATTCAAGAAGACTGAAACTCAAGACTGCACCCCTCACAGCTCCAAAAAGAAGGCAAAAGGGCAAAATCCCGTTCGTTGGTCAAAGAGGAAAACTAGATCTGAAGCGGTTATGGATGAAGAATCTCCTTCATCAACCAAGAAGTGCAGGGCCAGCACTACAAGTTCACCCACTTCCTCAAAGTCTAAAAAGGGCAAAAATCTGAATCATCACTCAGGGAAGTCCTCAACCTCTGTTTTTGTCACTACTGCTGCTAAATCCTATTTACCTGCAATTATGAGGAAGAACATTTTGCCTCAGCGTAATATTGACTTGGAAGACTTTGCTTTGAAAACCACACTCATTCCTCTGTTAAAAGCTAGGAACTTGTTGAAATCTGTAACTCTCCCAGGTTCCTATGTCAAACAAGTCATCCATGAGTTTTATTGCAATTTGGGCGAAGATTTTGTGAACCCTGCTGCTGTGTCTTTTGAAAAAGTTTTTGTTAGAGGCAAACTATACACTTTTTCATCCAGTGTTGTGAACAAATTTCTGGAATTAGATGATGATCAGGATGCATTGATAAGTGATGCCACCATGTGGAAGGAACTTACTCACGGAACCAGGAAAAGCCAACACCCCTCCAACAAAGTTCCCTCATCAATCCTGAATAGCTCCTACTCCATATTGCTCAGAGTTGCTGCATGTCACTGGCTAGCCACCTCTCACACCAACACAGTGACCAAAGCCATGGGGATGCTACTATATAAGATCAAAAACAATGTTTCTGTCAATCTGGGAAAGCTAATAGTTGCTCAAATTGCTGAATTTGGAAAGCACAACTATAAGCAAAATGATAATGGTCTGCCCTTTCCTGTGCTAATATTTCAGATGCTTGTCTCACAGGGTTTTACTAAAAAGGATGCTGAACAAGAAGAGCCACTGGAACCACTGCTGCAGATAGACAATCATTATTTTGAGGGGAAGCACTTCAATGGCATGGTGACCGTTGACCAAGCAACTCATGATATGCAAGGCGTGCTCAAGTATCTGGAACACAAGCTGCAACAAAACAAAGAGGTACTTCGCCTGGTGGATCAACAGAGGAGAGCCCTTGAGGAAGAGCACCAGAGCCTCTTATGGATGCAGGAGCATGTTGCACAAGGTGCTCAAGCAGCGGTTGCATCATCTCAGGGGGAGAGTACAGAGGAGGAGGAGGATAACACCATAGATTACTCAGCTTGAGTGGACATCTCCTTATCAACTCTTTGCATTCTCCTTACCATAGTTTTGCCCTCTTTCTGGTTTCAAGACATATTGCACTGATGTTTTTGCTATGGCTGGTTTTTCTCTTGGAAGGTTCAAACCTGATTTATCTACATTTGTGCTTGCATTTGGTTATCTATAGTTTCATTTCGCTATTCTTGTGCATCTCTGTGACATGGTGTAGGTACATCCCTCAGCCTAGATAATAGATCTTCTAGTGTGTCTTTTGTACTTCTCTTGCTTAAGTGTTGAATGTTACTCTTCTCTATTCCCATATTTGAATAACCTTTGGCTCATTTTTGAACAAAAAAGGGGGAGAAGAGGTTCAACAGGCCAGAGAGTCAAGTGTATTTGTTTTTGTCCAAAAGGATGGCCAAAGGGGGAGATTGTTAGTTCTTTGGGTTAGTTACTAAGGGTGAGAACTAGTGTGTATTTTGTTTATTCTTTGTTGGCCTTATCCTTGTGACAAAAACAAATAAGTAGGAATGTTTCATTCTTTTTAGCTGATTGGATGTAGAGTCCTGCCGTGTCATGATTGGGTTTGAGTCTATCTCTACGAGCTGGAGCAGACTTCCTCCGGAAAAGGGATTCCTGCGAAGCTGTCCAGAGTCCCATGCAGATCGGGAATAAGATTTGCTGGAGAATTCAAGTATGATCATGACTAGGGTTTTCGCGTGCTGCTCACATATATATATACTCACATGATCTCATGTAGAGGAGGAGAGAGAACATAGGCATACTTCCAGCGAGAGATTGAGAGAGCCATAAACCCGAGCTACAAAAGGAGATCAGAAGGGAATCATGTTTGGTTCTTTCTGATATACGGTGCTGTTGTGAGCACAAGAAGTTTGTGGCCTGTTCGCAAATCATATTGCAGATCCATGATTGGTTTTGATAAAAACCACATCCAGCTGGTGAACTAGGAAGGGCTGGAGAAAGGGCTGTCAGCACGTCCAATAACAAGAAGTTATCAAGTTGTAATCTTTGCAGTGATTTAGTGGACGGGCTATTACACGGATGTGGGCCCCGCAGAGTAGGAGAATTTCTCCGAACTGCGTAAACAATTCTTGTGTCTGTTTTACTGTTTTTTATTTCTCTTACTGCGTGTGACTGGTTGTGACAGAGGGAGTGTTTTAGCACTTTGTTTATCACAGCGATCTGAGCGTGTGTGTGATTGACTAGAATTGTTCACAGAGAGCACTTCCTCTTGTGACTAGAATCACTATAACAATTTCAGGATCTGCAGGCCCATACATCTTTTCTTCAATTTCAGGATCCGCTGCCCACTTTTCTCCAAGCTCGCTCCGCTCTCATGCTTTTGGACCGACAACACTCTCCCATGGCCGACTCGAGCAGCACGGCCCTCCTCACCGGCAGGCCTGGCGTCAACAGC